GAGTATAGGGTCAGCATACCAATATGTGCAAGACCATTAGACTGAAAACCATAGGACGTTAAGGGAAATTAAAGAAGGCGTAAATAAATGCAGAGAGAAATAATGATGTGTATGTTTTAGATGACTCAAAATTATTATGACATGAATTCTCCCCAGTTAAATACCTGATTTCAAGAATTGCTGTAAAGGGGCTCCTGGCTGGCTTAGAACAGCATGCCACTCAGTCTTGGGGTTGTGAATGCAAGTCCCACTTTGGGTATAGAGATTACTAAAAAAAAAATAAACTTAAAAAAAAAAAAATTGCTGCTGCGCCTGGTTCAGTAGGTTAAGTGTCTGACTTCGACCCAGGTTGTGATCTCACGGTTCTTGGGTTCAAGCCCTGAATCGGCTCTGCACTGACAATGTGGATGAAGCCTGCTTGGGATTCTCTTTCTCTCCCTCTCCCTCTGCCCTTCCTGCACTTGCGCTTTCTTTCTCTCTCAAAATAAATAAATAAACAAACTTAAAAAGAATTGCTGTAAAGCTATAGTTTTTTTTGTTTTGTTTTGTTTTTTTTGTAAATCTATAGTTATTAAGACACTATGGTAATGTCAAATGATAGCTGTATAGCTTGAGTCTTAGAGAGAGGACTGACTACAAAGGGACACCAGGGAACTTTTGAGGATGATGGAAAAGTTGTGTATCCTGATTTTTGTGGTCATATGGTTATATACATTTGTCAAAAGTTGTCAAACTCTGCATTTAAAATGTTACATAGATTTTATTGTAGCTAAAGTATACCCTAGGGACACCTGGGTGGCTTAGTCGGTGAAGCATCTGACTTCAGCTCAGGTCATGATCTCACAGTCCACTGGTTTGAGCCCCATGTCGGTACCTGTGCTGGCAGCTCAGAGCCTGGAGCCTGCTTCAGATTCTGTGTCTCCCTCTCTCTCTGCCCCCTCCCCTGCTCAAAAATAAACATTAAAAAATTTTTTTTTAATAAACAAATAGATAAAGTATATCCTATTAAAGTTGCATTTTTAAAAAGATCCAGATTTCTAGGATAGTTTTCCTGGTGGATTTCTCCAATTTTTGAGATGGAAATACATGAATTTTAAAAAGCTTCTTTCAGAGCACCTGGGTGGCTCGGTAGGTTAAGCATCTGACTTCTACTTAGGATCTCATAGTTCATGGGTTCAAGCACCACATCGGGCTCTGCACTGACAGCATGGACAGAGCCTGCTTGGGATTCTCTCTCTGTCTCTCTCTTCCCGCTCTCACTCTCCCCCTCCCCTGCTTGCACACTGTCTCAAAAATAAATAAATAAACATTGAAAAAAATAAAAACCGGGGCGCCTGGGTGGCGCAGTCGGTTAAGCGTCCGACTTCAGCCAGGTCACGATCTCACGGTCCGGGAGTTCGAGCCCCGCGTCAGGCTCTGGGCTGATGGCTCAGAGCCTGGAGCCTGTTTCCGATTCTGTGTCTCCCTCTCTCTCTGCCCCTCCCCCGTTCATGCTGTCTCTCTCTGTCCCAAAAATAAATAAAAACGTTGAAAAAAAAAAAATTAAAAAAAATAAAAAAAGAAAAAAATAAAAACCTACTTACTCTCTTTGGAACCTAATATGTAGCAAGTGTTCAGTAATTTTCAGTGTATCATTCAGTAAAATATGAAATTTTTACAAGTGAAGTATTTTGAATGCTGATTTTTATAATAAAAATTTTGGGAAGTCTCATGTTATTTTTTTGTACAGAGAACAATTCTTCAAAGTTACATGTTTAATACATTAGAATTTCCTTGTTTTCTGTTGACTTTTATTAAATGATGCCATATATTTGCTTATATATTTTCCATTTTCAGATTATTATATTTATCGAGTCTTTGGCTATCACCTTTTCTGGGGTCATTCTTAGATTTTTAGCTTTCATAGAATAATTAAATTTTTAGTTAATTTGGACAGTGTCTTAAATTTTCCAAAGTAAGCACTTATAAGAGAAAAAAATCATTGTTACCTATAATCATCATTTTAATACCAAAAAAGTAGAAAGACTATCACTTCTAGATAAAAAATCTTTCTTAAGAAAATCGTGACATATTATTGATTACTATGTGCTAGGCATTACACCTTGTATTTAAATATGTTATCTAATTGACTTTTCAAAATAACCCTGTTACACTCATTTTACTGGAAAAGAATTTGAGGCTCAGCTATTTCAGGTAACTTGCTAGAACAGGATGTCTGATTTAATAGCCCATGCTCTTAACATTGCTCAGGCACTTTTATAATTCAGAACAATTAACAACCTAAAATGCTGGGTTTTTATAATTAAGTATCTCTTGATAAAATTTGTCACCAGGGGTGCCTGGGTGGCTCAGTCGGTTAAGTGTCTGACTTCGGCTCAGGTCATGATCTTGTGGTCTGTGAATCTGAACCCCTCATCAGACTCTCTGCTGACAGCTCGGTGGAGCCTGGACCCTGCTTCGGATTCTGTGTCTCCCTCTCTCTCTGCCCCTCCTCCGTTTGTGCTCTGTCTCTGTCTCTTTCTCAAAACTAAATAAACATTGAAAAAAAAATTTTTTTAATTTGTTACCATAGGTCTTTATTTGATAGTACAACACGAGTTCACATAGCATGTGCAGGCATTCATTTTTGCTTACACAGTTTTACAGAGATGATGAAAACCTCTGTTAAAGAAACCACCTCAGGGTGCCTGGGTGGCTCAGTCCGTTAAGTGTGGACTGTTTGTTTCAGCTCAGGTCATGATCTCATAGTTCGTGAGTTTGAGCCCCACAGGGGCTCTGCACTGACAGCTCAGCACCTACTTGGGATTCTCTCTGTCCCTTTTTCTCTGCCCCTCCCCTGCTCAGGAGCGGCCTTTTCAGTGTTCTTCCATTTGTTTTTGGAATATTCTGGGTCAACTGATAAAATCTCCTTGCATCTAGGAGGTTTTTCCAGTCTTTAACACCTTGTGCTGGTTAAGAAGGCACAAGATGGTGGTAGTGCTATCTTGCCATCGAGGCAAAGGAGGGTGCAAAAGGGCATACTCCATGCCTAGCTTTCACTCCTGTTTAGGACGTGATGATTAGTGTTCTAATTTAATGACAGTTGTCATTATAATCCACATAAATCTGCACATACTTTCAAAATGTATGTCCATGTCAAGTGGCTTGCTTTTTTCTAGGAATGGTAAGACATTTTGAGATGTTTGTGCTAAAAAAAAAAAATTACCTTTAAACTTCAGTTTGAATGACGTTTTCACTTGCTAGCTGTGTACAAAATCATTTAGTTTCTGAACTTCTGTCTCTTCATCTGTTAATATTTAACTCAGTATATTTTTATTTGTCTACTCAAATGAGGTAGTATAAGTGAAAACAGTGTGAAAACTAGAAACTAAGGGACATTTCAGGTGGTTGCAAGCTGGTCAGCGTGTTTAGAGCAGGATAGTGTGGTCGGTCGATAGGATGTTGAATCTGAGTGGGGGTGGAGGAGGGACTGAGGCTAGAGGGAGGTAGAGTAGAAGTGGAAATGATCATAGGTGAACTTAGTGACATTGTGAATGGACATGAAAAATGTAATTAGTGATTTTGGAGGGAAAAATCAATATTTCTGGGTGGTTGAGAGGAGAAGAAATCTCTTGACTCACAGATTAATTTGCAATAAATATTTAACTGCCTATTTTCCACAGTCTCACTAGGCATTTGTTCTATACAGGTACAGACCACTAAGGACCTGAAGGAATCAGTAGTATTTGGTGTCTGGGTAGGATGCTGCCTGCATTCATGAACAGAGAATTTGGGAATGAGTGCTGATTTGGGTATGAAGTCAAGCTACTCACTTGAAAGCAAGTTGACTTCTATGCCACAGATATGGGGACACAATATGGCCATATAGTTTTTATGTGGTCCTCATATTACTTATTTATAGCCATAGACATCTGATTGCACAGTTCCATTAATGTCTGGAAAAATGACAATTTTAGACATTTGGAAAGATTGTATTTTCCTCCTAATAGTGCTAAGTATGGTACTGTTTAGCATTTACACACACACACACACACACACACACACACACACACACACACACACTGTAATGAAACAGGGCTTTCAGATAATTTGCATTCAGTCTTATATGGTGCTTTTTTTCCAAGGAAAAACATTTCTGAATCTTATGTACATAAATTTGAGTATTCATTACAGGCTTATCAATTCTAGTTATTGTCAGTGTTAAAACAAAAGAATTTAAGTAAAATCTAGCTGTAACTGGGAATGGATTTCTTTATTGTGCAGCAGTCTTCTCAAACTTCAGATTGCATCAAAATCATATGGAGGGCTTGTTAAAATACAGGTTGCTGGGTGCCACCCCTTAGGTTCTGATTTAGTAGGTCTGAGGTGGGGCTGAAGATTTGCATTTCTAATAAGATGCTTATGTTAAGACCTACTGTTACATGATAAGGAATAAGATTGTCTTAGGAAACCGCAATTTAGCTTCTAAAAAACACTTTATAAATAGATTAGTAAAAACTACATAATGCCTGAGAAATAAACTTAATTTTCATAATGATACAGCTCGAATCCAAATCCCCTCAGGATGTGGTAAATATAAAATTTCTTTTATAGTCTTTCCTGAAAGTTAATTGTTCATATTTACTTATTTAGCACGGGAACAAGTTAGCAGAATATCTTTAAAAATACATTAAAGACATTATAAACATTATTCTCCATTCACAATAGTTTTTTAGAGGAATTTGATCCCTCTCTATATTAATTTATTTATCCAATACTTTTCCTTGAAATTAAAAATCAGACTTCAATTTTTAAAAAATTTAATACTTGTCATGAAAAACCAAAAACATCCATTCGTTGAAAGTGGATGGTTTTCCACTGTCCTTATCTCTGATCAGCCCTAGAGTTTCCCTGAATTTCAAAAACTAAAACTGTTGGAGATGAAATGTGACAATAGGGTTAATGTAGTATGTCAACCTAAATTAGTTTCAGTAATTTGAAAAAATCTTATATTTTTTTAGCTAATGGGAATGACAACAAGAAATTTAAAGGAGATAGACCTCCCTGTTCGCCTTCTCGTGTTCTCCATCTTCGCAAAATTCCAAGTGATGTCACCGAAGCAGAGGTCATATCATTAGGTCTACCATTTGGCAAAGTAACTAATCTTTTGATGTTGAAAGGAAAGAGCCAGGTATGTAATATTTAAAGATTGAACCACAGTGATTATCTCTGGGTACTAGTGTTAAAGATGACTTTTATTTTCTTGAACTTTTCTGTATTTTCTAAATTTCATTTTATTTACATAGTTTTTTAAATAGAATTTTTTTTTATGTATGACAGGAAGCAACAAACAAAAATATTAACACAGGACATAGGATTATCTCTTTTTCAATGACTTGTCCTTTTCTTCCTGAACAAAAAAATTTTATATTCTTAATTACAAAATAGTTTATGAAAATACCCTGTGATTATCAGAAGACCAAGACACAGAGAAGATATAAATTATGCCTCATTTGGTAGTTAAAGAATAAGTTTTCCAAAATCTGTATAGAAATGTGTAGTATATTTTAGTTTAGAATTAATATATAACTTCTTTAATAATTCAAAAGAGATTGTTAGAGGTTCTTCATTTCAGAAGTTAATAGGTTTTTCTTAAGATGAATCAGGAAACTTGCTTTTGTGGTGACCATGACAAAAATATAATACTTGTTATGTTGATTTGAGTAATCACCTGCTTTTTTGTTCCAACTCAGACCCCATTAGGATGAATTCTTTAGTTCTTTCCCAGTTTTTGGTTGTCCTGAAAATCTTTTAAACTGAGCATTGCTGGTAAGAAGACGACAACAGATTTAAGCCCTAAACATTGTGTAGTACATTGTGATAAGACCCTATGTTCTTACACTTTTGTAAATAAGTTTAAGAAACAAATATATTTATAAACAGATTGGTATGTGTTTGGACATGAAAGAGATTATCATGTCTGATTCTGGCCCTTTAGTGAAACTAACGTTCCTGTTTAATTCGGATGAGGTTATTTAAATGAGAGGCTAAATAACATGTTTTAGTATTTAGCTCTTGTATGTTGACACATTTATTTTACATCTTCTGGAAATCTTACATGTGCCTGGATCTTTATTTTAACTCAGTTGCCACTACTGAGAATTTATGGTTTGGTGGTTTTAAAAGAGCCAACATGGCCAAGTCTAATGGCTGTGAGATGTATCGTGTATGTGTATCATGTACGTTATCATGTTTCATGCAGTGTATCCTGTATATTCTGTTAGATGGTTGTGAGGGGCAGCAATGTCACAATTTGTTTTTGTCTCTGCTATTGGTTCTGGGTTTATTATTTATCTGCAGTGCTATTGTGTTAATTGCTTATCTTTCAGTCATAAATCATGTTTAGAAAATATTTTGTTAGTTATATACTTTAGCAAGAGAGTGATGTGAGTCATTAGAACTACTTGTAGCTGTAATCTTTCTGATGGCGCTTAGAGGTGGGAGTGTTGAGGGCAGCATACGGGATATTTTCGCCAGCCTTTCTGTGGTTAGTGACTTCTGGGATTTTTTTTTTTCCACCGCTTATTATGAAAATCGATTTCTTTGGATACTTTAGAAAAACCTAAATAATTCCTCCTGGGGTCTACGTGGAAAAAGTTCTTTTTATGTATGAATTTTTAGGTTGTATATACTTTCAAGAAAAATTTTTTATAATAATAATCGTGTATTCCAAAGATATTGTTTAGCTTTTCCTTTGTGTAACTAATGTTAGACATTGAGTTTAGTTCTTTGCATTTATGAAGGGGTTTTCAGAAAGATACTCTCCCTCTATATAGTGAATATTATTAGCAAAAAGTTTACATATTCTTTGTTGAAAAGGTGATTAAAAACCAGACAGGAAATGTTGCTATTGCTTTTTGGTTACCTTGATCATTTTTATCTTCCTTAGAAAAATTAGTAAAAGCATATTACTAATACAGATAATGGTTTTAAAGTGCATTTCTTGAAGATAGTAGAATTTATTTGTTTATTGAGGATCAGTTAATTAATGATATTTGATCTATTGTGGTGTGGCTAACATTACTACTTCATAGAATGTTGTTAAAGCATTTAATTGGTTCATTTGTGACATTTGATGGATACAGTTAAGCATCACATTTAACATTTGTCAGGTTAATATTCCTTTACTGGAATATTTGCCAAATAGAAACACTTAGTAAGATAACTATAAACAAATAAATAGTTTGACTTACAGATATTTGCCATTTCATATGTTCAGGAAATTTGTTAATAAACATATTTTTATAAATTGTGTTTTATATATAATTTGAAGTGGTTACTGTACACTTGCTAATTACATGCTCTGTTGTAGTAAAAAAGAATTGAGTTATCAAACTAGAAATTTGCATGGACTTGGATCAGGAGTTCTTCCTATACATTTTTAATTTGAGATGTTCATTATAGGTAGTTCTGGGGCTCAGAATGGTTAGTATTTCATCTTCGTAACTAACCATTATGGTAGGGTGGCAGAACCTCTCACAGAAGTTTCAGGAGTTCTTACAGCTGGAAGAGGCCATGTGTGGAATAAGACATAGATCTCAAGGAGCCTTTTCTGATCTCAGCTCTTCCTGTGTTATTTTTCAGATATCTAATATTTGTACAATGATTACACGTGTTAAAAGATGAATTCAGTTGAGTAAATTTTAAAGATTTTATTGGCTTTATTCAAGGATTCGTGAATTGGGTAGCATTTCATCCAGCAGATAGAAAGGAGCTGTGAAGAGCAGTGCATAATGAAAGGCTTCTGTAGGCAGAATAGGGTGGGACAAGGAAGTTACTAGTAGAGTGAGTTGTTTGAGGCAAGGTCATCTTCCTTTAGGGAATGGTTGGGGTCTGTCAGGCAGATAACCTCACTAGTGCTGACCAAGTAATTCCAGATGAACTGGTTTAAGATTCTAATCTTGGGAGAGGTTGAAACTATAATTGTTAGGTATTAACTCCTGGTTTGGTGATGTGGGCTTAGTTGGGCTTAGTACAGGTGACTTCATTTTGGGCTTGTTGCCTCTGTATTTTTTAACACAGATCTCAGAAAAAGTCACTTGAATGATTCAAATCAATATTGACTTAATGTAGGAAAGATGTTATCCCATTTCCCTAACTTGAACAATTGAGCCTTTACACCTGAATTCTGCATTTAATTGTATCATAAACTTAATTGTATCATAAACAGCTATTTAATTAAAAGGTAAAAGAACAAATCATGCCCCATCTTGGAGAAGTTCTTATTTAGGAAAGAACTATTAAATTCTAACCCCTGAAAGCATCCATTTTACAGTATTGATGCTCACCTTTATTTTCACCTTTTTAATTATTTCTAGATTTTAGAAGAAAGAGAAAAAAGAGGAAAATAAAAAACCACATGAAATCATTTATTCAACTGGCAATTTCCCAGTCCCAAATCCTTTATTGAGCTCGACTTTTCATATGTATTTTCGTTTAACATCAGTGGTACACTTTGAAGCAAGAGTCTTTTCATAGTTCTTAGCTGTCTTTCAAAAACATGAGCTTTCACTTTACTTTCTTGTGTTTATTACAGGCTTTCTTAGAAATGGCTTCTGAGGAAGCTGCTGTTACTATGGTGAATTACTACACTCCTGTTACTCCTCACCTTCGAAGCCAGCCTGTTTTTATTCAGTATTCCAATCACAGAGAACTTAAGACTGACAATCTACCTAATCAAGCTGTAAGTATTGAAAGCATTTAAAAAATTAGCTACAAAAAAAAAAAAAGCTACAAGAATACATGGTATAATAGCTTAAGATTAATTTTCTATTTCTCAGGAAAAAATCATGTTCCTTCCTGTTAGGATGCTTTATTAGTAAAGATTATGTATGTAAATTCTTACCTGAAGGCTTAAGTAGTGCCATTTAGAAATACGTTTGAAGTTGCGGTGCTAGAAATGACAGATACTGGGGGTATAGCTCAGAGGCAGAGCGTTTGACTGCAGAAATGGCAGAAATTTAGTTTGCCCTTGAAACTTTTTTCGCGAGTAAGAGAAAAACTTACATTCTTATCTCTTAAAATTTCAAGTCCAAAAGGAACTTTTTATAGAATACTTAGAATATATAACAAAGGCATTAAGAATTTCAGTGCCGCTTCTATTTGATGTTAACATTTAGATGTTAATAAGAATTTGTATAGATATGTTCATTAAATGGTTTTTGACTCTTCTAGGTGAATGTGGAATGTAGAATATCAACATCTCTAACCTCATTTTTCAGTTTTTATTTTGATATAGTTCATATTGACTATAGTTCATCTTTTGTGTCTCTCCAGGTTGATTTGTAGTAGCTAAAATAGTAATTTGAAGTTACTTAAGGGTAAGAAAAATTGATCCACAAAGCAAGAAAGAGGTTTTTTTATTATGTTATGAGCATGTTTGGGCCCTATAGTCTTGCTCTAGGTAAAAGAACTCCTCCAGCCCTTTGATTCTGTGCTGAAAGTCATTATAGTGCAAGCTACTGAATTGAAATTAGTTTTCCACATTTTTAAATTTTTTTTTTCAACGTTTATTTATTTTTGGGACAGAGAGAGACAGAGCATGAACGGGGGAGGGGCAGAGAGAGAGGGAGACACAGAATCGGAAACAGGCTCCAGGCTCTGAGCCATCAGCCCAGAGCCTGACGCGGGGCTCGAACTCACGGACCGCGAGATCGTGACCTGGCTGAAGTCGGACGCTTAACCGACTGCGCCACCCAGGCGCCCCTCCACATTTTTAAAACAAAGACTTTTTCTGTGCATAATCCTTAGCTTGTTCTAAGAGATATTAGTGGCATATAATAACCTATATAAACTTAGTAAATGAGATGTTAGACATTTTTAAATAGTGTAGACTTTTGTAAATGAAAAATTGACTTCAAAATTCTAAATAGCATCCATTCTCATGGTAAAACATTCAAATAGTCCAGAAAAGTAAAAATGACAACAACAACAACACAGTTGTCCAGAGACAACTAATTAACATTTGCTAACAGTTTGGTGTGTATTCCTTCTCTATCCAGGTGTATTATTATCTGTGTATATAATTTTACATAAGTGGAATCCTAATGTTTTGAAAGCTCATATTTTTTCTTTATAATGTGTCATGGATATTTTTTTGATGGCTATAAAGGCAGAATTACTTCACAGTTTTTAAGTAAATGCATAATACTCCCTTCTATAAGACAGCCATAATCTATCCAATGTCTTGTTAATAGACATTGAAATTGTTTCCAATTTTACACTTTTTAGAAATAGCACTGTAGCAACATTCTTACATATCCTAGCACACTTGCAACATTTTCTTACTAGTTAACATTTGTGGCAGTGAAATTGCTGGGACTAAGCATATGTATATTTTATATTTTGATATACGTTTCATGATTGCTTTTTTTAATGTTTATTTTAGAGGGAGAGGGTATGTGTGCAAGTGTGGGGGGGGGTGGGCAGAGAGACGGGGAGAAAGAGGACCCGTAGTGGGCTCTGTGCTAACAGCAGAAAGCCCAATGGGGGGCTTGAATTAATGAATGGTGAGATCATGACCTGAGCCAAAGTCAGTCACTTAACTGACTGAGCCACCCAGGTGCCCCACATGATTGCTTTTTTTTTAAAGAATATGTGCCAGCTTAGGGTGCCATTCATGTGTAAGCAAGCAGTTTTCCTGTCATCTTTATTAGAGGATGAAATCATATCTTATTGTTTACTTAATATTTATTTGATAACTTATAAAGTATAGTGATTTCTGTTGATGCAGTTTTTCCCCCATTTTTAACACTGTGGTGAATTACATATGAAATTTACCATTTTGTAAATGCCGAGCAGCATTAAGTACATTCATATTGTGCAATCCATCACCACCATCTTTCTCCAGAATTCTTTCACCTTGGGACACCAGGTCATGATCTCATGGTTTGTGAGATTAAGCCCTGCTTTGAGCTCTGTGCTGACAGTGCAGAGCCTGCTTGGGATTCTCTCTCACACTCTCTCCCTCTCCCCTTCCTCCTTCTCTCTCTCTCTCTCTCTCTCTCTCTCTCTCTCTCTCTCTCAAAATAAGTAAATAAACTTAAAAAAATAAATTCTTTCACCTTCCCAAATTGAAACTCTATGCCCTAAACGCTAATTCCGCATTCTTCTGCCCCCCCAGCCTCTGGCAGCCACAGTCTACTTTCTGTCTCTGAGTTTTGTCTACTAATGCGGTTTTAAAAATATTTTTACACAATAGTCAAATCTCTTAAGATTGTATTATGGTTTCTGATTTTGATACCAT